GACCGGTTTGGCTCAGTGGATAGAGCATCGGCCTGCGGACTGAAGGGTCCCAGGTTTTTTTCTGGTCAAGGGCATGTACCTGGGTTACGGGCACATCCCCAGTGGGAGATGTGCAGGAGGCAGCTGATTGATGTTTCTCTCTCATCGATGTTTCTAACTTTCTATCTCCCTTCCTCTCTGTGAAAAATCAATAAAATATATTTAAAAAAAATAGTAATACATCCATATGAAATAAAATGAATTTTAGTTCCTTCAAAGTGTAATTGCTGCACTATTAAACAATAAGTGGCTATTTTGTTTTATGCTTCCAAAAAAGAAAAAAATCAGAATGTGGTATAGGATCAATGTTGGTTACTAAGTTTATTCTATACCATGTATAAATGTTTCTGTTTTAGACACGGGAACAGGAGGAATTGGAAGAAGCTTTAGAGGTAGAACGACAGGAAAATGAACAAAAAAGACTGTTTATACAAAAAGAAGAACAACTACAGCAACTTCTAAAAAGGAAGAATAAGCAGGCTCTTTTAGATGAACTGGTATGTATTAATGCTAATTACAATAAAAAATCAGTCTTCGGGGTTTGTGTTTCTTATTTATTATGCTGGATAATGACATTTTAATGGCATTTCTGCAGCTTGTGCTGGTGTATTAAACTTTGATTCCTTTATTAAAAACATTTTTTTTACAATACCCATTTTATTTCAGAAGCAAGAGTAATATAACTGACATAATCCAATGTTCGGTTAATAGATTGCTTACATGTTTCTAAGCTTACTGTCTTAAAACACATTGTTTTCCGAGCATTTTTTTTTCCTGATTAATACTGGTTTTCTAATAACTGGTTCATTTAAATTGTTTCGGCTCTGGGCTGAAGTTTGCAGTGATTCTGGTTACTCTGTGAGAACTGTATTTCATATTTTTGTGTGGAAAAGAATGAGAAGTAATGGTGATGTTTTGCAAGTTATTGGTGTTTTCCTGCAATTAGCCCCTCTAGTTGTTGACATCTGTAATAATAAAAGCCTAATATGCTATTTAGACCTTCTGGACGAAGCCAGGGCTGCGAGGGCCGAGCCTCTGGCACGAATTTTGTGCATCGGGCCTCTAGTTGGTAGATAACAGCCATAATAATAACTAAATTTTATGAACTGTTTCATAGATTTCATATATTATTTGATGCTTTTAACCCAGTAATATTGGTAAACTCACAACTAGAAAGTCATCCTCTCCAGTGATGTCTTTTGTATTCTTCCCTTTCTCTTTTTGTCCACATAATTTTCATGAGGTCCTCAGTATAGCTGATATACTGCTTATTATTCTATGATTGGGTAAATGTGTATGTGTATATTTTCTACTGTGCTTTTTTGCCCAAAAGCATTTAAGCCAGCTAAACAGGAATAAAAAGAAAAAGTAAGATTATTTAAATTAGAGATAGATGAGAAAGTAAAGGAAAAGTAAGGATAAGGACATTAATGAGGTTTAGACAGAAAATGCTTATTATAAACCCTCTGTATTTTGTCTCAGTGCAGTGCAAATAGGTTCTAAAAGTAAGGACAGTGGCATATTATTAGAATATGTGCCCTAGCCGGTTTGGCCATTGGATAAGGCACCAGCCTGTGGACTGAAGGGTGTCCCGGGTTTGATTCCGGTCAAGGGCGCATGCCTGGGTTTTGGGCTCGGTCCCTGGTAGGGAGCATGCAGGAGGCAGCTGATCAATGATTCTCTCTCATCATTGATGTTTCTATCTCTCTCACCCTCTCCCTTCCTCTCTGAAATCAATTAAAAAAGATATATCTATCTATATAAAAATACAGTGTTTTCCATAGCATCTTCCATTAATTTTTCTTGAAACTATCATGTGGCAGATGAGGCTTTATCATGTGAAGTGACACATGTTGTGTTTTATAGTTTTTGGGGCCATATATTTTGTGAGAAATTGAAACCTTTAATAAATCAATTAGTAAATGTTGATGTTGTAATTATTTATTGAAAAGTTCTTTCCTTCATCATTTTATACAAAGAGAAACATACTTGTCTTTGATAATACTGCTCCCCTATACAGTCAAGTGAATTAATACATGCAGAACTTAAACCTAGGATGAAAATACACTTTAACTTTTTTTTTAATAATTTAAATTCTTTATTGTTTAAAGTATTACATAAGTCTCCTTTTCCCCCATTGACCTCTCCCCAGCCCCCAGCACATGCTCTCACCCTCTACTGTCTGTGTCCATTGGTCATGCTCATATGCATGCATACAAGTCCTTTGGTTGATCTCCAATGGAGGTTCCATTATCAATTTTTTGAGGAAAGGCCATGCTGTCTTCCACAGTGGCTACACCAGTCTGCATTCCCACCAGCTGTGCAAGAGGGTTCCTTTTGCTCTGCATTCTCTCTAGCACTTGTCGTTTGTTGATTTTTTAATGATAGCCATTCTGACAGGTGTGAGATGGTACCTCATTGTTGTTTTGATTTGCATCTCTCAGATGATTAGTGACTTTGAGGATGTTTTCATGTCTCTTGGCCTTCTGTATGTCCTCTTTTGAAAAGTGTCTATTTAGATCCTTTGCCCATTCTTTGATTGGATTGTTTATCTTCTTTTTGTTAAGTTGTATGAGTTCCCTGTAAATTTTGGAGATTAAACCCTTCGGAGATAACATTGGCAAATATGTTCTCCCATGCAGTGGACTTTCTTGTTGTTTTATTGATAGTTTGTTCTGCTGTGCAGAAAGAAGCTTTTTTTTTGATGTAGTCCCATCTGTTTGTTTTCTCCTCAGAATCCATTGCCCTAGGAGCTGTATCAGTAAAGATACTGCTGCGACATATGTCTGCTATTTTGCTGCCTATGACTTCCAGGATTTTTATGGTTTCCTCTCTTATGTTTAAGACCTTTATCCATTTTTAGTTTATTTTGTGTGTGGTGTAAGTTGGTGGTCTAGTTTCATTTTTTTTGCATGTAATATAAAGAGTTTTTAGATTTTATTTTGAGGTTATCTAGCTGCGCATAGTAATTATAACTTAAATATTCTTTTAGTCTCAAAGTACTAAGTTTGCCTCCCTCATTGAGCTGCTATTGGCATGAAGCTTCCTTTTAATTCACTGGAGCAGGAAGCAAGATGTGAAACTGCAAGTGTTGTACATTGTGTATAATCTGGAGTTAATATTGGTTTTTGTGAGGAACCCTCCCCCCCCACTTCCTGTTTTCTTCACCTGCAAGTCATTACTGCACATACTTTCTTCACTGTTTAGATCATATAACATGGTGGTTAAATAATCCTTAGCAATTTACTATATTCATTAGAACAATTAATTACATTACATTGGTTTAGAATACCAATGAAGTTTAAATTTCTGGGTTCCATTTTAAAACTTATTTTTAAAAATTTGTTGTTACTTTAATTTTTGAATATTTATTAATTTTTTTTGGTTAAAGTTAGTCCTTATTGACTAAAGAATTCATTACGTTTCTTTTTATCCTCCTAAATCCTTATTAAGTAAAACATTACATTATAATTCTTTTTCTATGTATATTAATGAATTACATTTTATAAAACAAGATAGCATTGGCACTTGTAAATATGTCTAGAGGCTTAAATTTTAGGGTTATTCTTTGGCTCTACTAGACAGTAAGTACTATTTATAAGAATTTCTCCTCCTTTTTTTGGGTTTGGTCCTTGTGCTGGAAGTCACTTTTTCACCTTTTGTAAAGCATTGGCATTATATTATACTGTAGATGACAGGATTTTAATGTTATGGTATTAATGTTTATGGCTTAATATTTACCATAATGTTGCCTAAAAAGTCCATTTAATTAATCCTAACTGTAAATTCAGGTGTGTGTGTGTGTTTGTTTTTTTTTAACACTTTGGAAAAAGATTTTAAAACAGCTCCTGATTTAGTTAATCTTTTTATATTCCTGTTTTTATATTCTGTTCACTTTATGTCTGAAATTTTGTATGGGCTAATATTGCTGTCAAATGCAGTAGCTGATTTTTATTAGAAATATTGTTTGCCAGATGGCTTGCTTAAAGTCAGTTAAAATAATCTTTTAAAAATGGTCATTATAAAGCTTTTAATGAGTATTACAGGCAGTCTTATTAAAATTTCTTTAAGTATTAAACAAGGTACCTTCAGGCAATTAATGTAGGTTAGGGAACCTTTCAAGGTAAAAATGGAAAGCTAAGAAGAATGAAATAATTTGAAAGGCTGAATCTGCATTTTATGCATTCCCAAGAGGATGTGAATTCTTCATAGTTTATTTTACTATATAGATTTTGTTGTTCTTAGAGCTCCTGCTTAATTATAGTTTAACATTCACAAAGATTTTCAACCTCTAAAGTTTTGAGTGCTAAAGTGGAATAAAGCAGATTTGAGGTAAATTGTATGCCAGAGTAGCAAAATTAGTTTTAGATTCCTACAATGTTTATTTTTATTACATTTCAGCTGTTTTACTAATATATTTTTATAGTTAGGTCCCTTTATGTGATATTGAAACCAGGCCAAAGTATTGATTAGCAGGGTTTTGAAGTGAATACATTGTCTTGAATTTACACAAGAACTTTTAGTTTTTAAGAGTAAGTACCAGGTATGCAAGAGCATTTGAGTTCACTTAGAGTATAAATTGGGATGCAATGTTTTAACTTTTTAGTCAAGAAAATTAATTTTTCTTGTGTTAGTGTTTTTGCATATGAAAAGATAGTAATAGCTTTTAAGAGATATTTTGGGCCACAGCCTATTTAAAATGTCCTATAATTTTATTATAATATTCTTAGTGGAAATCTAGAATAGCTGCAGGAATTCATAGCAGTGCTGTTACTAACGCATTGCTGATGCGTTGTAGTAGAATATGAAAGGTATTCAAGTATATTCTCGTAGTATATTTCATTCATTCTCCATTATTGATAAAGCTAGGTCACAAGGAGTTTGCTCCTTAATATGGTTCTATTTTATAAATAAAATGTGTTCTTCCACTTACTTTTAAAAGATTTAATCTTTGTAATGTTGCTCTTGCAGAGAACTTCTATTACAAATTCTTGAGGTACAGATTTATTCTAGGACAATTCTGTTGAAGTAAATTGGCTTTTTAAAAAATTAGTTTTGTACTAGAACTTTAAGTCCTTTAACTATATTAATTAGCCACATTTGTGCCTAAAATATTAAGTTATTAGACTTGGGAAGAAAATTAGATTCTGCTATATGTTTACTTCATACTATGAAATGTTAACACGATATAGTTTTTTTCAATTTTAAATTATGGGTAGTTACTATTTTAAAAATTTATAGGCCAATTGAAGAATATGTTTATTTTTGTAAATAACCTAGATATAGGAAATAGAAATGCATTGTTGTCCTTTATTTTTGTTCACAGTTATAGGAAGTACTCTGTGTGTGCATGTGTGTTTGTGTGTATGTGTGTGTGATCTTCCCTCCTGGCTTTCCTCTGCATGTTTTGTGTTCTTATTTAATTGACAACTCAGGAAGGAAAAGTCTGGATATCATTTAGTTTAGACTTTAGCTCCATAGCACTTTAAACATGTAAGAGGACTTCATGTTAAACAGGATAAATAGCAGCTACATATAAGAATTAGTAATTTGCTTATTAGTATTATGTGTGTGTATAGATTTGTGTAAATAGTGATCCTGATTTAGTATCAACCTAGATACTAAAAACGTTTACTATTATTTTGTCCATTAAAATTTAGACTTCTTTTCTAAAAATAAGTCAGTAAAAGAGAAAATAAATGTACTTTTGGTTGTACTTAACAATCGTTCCATTGTGCAAAACAGAACAAGGATCATTTCCAAACGGCCTCAGGTGAAATCTAATGGGAAACAATTTCAAACTAGTCTGAATTCACTGGTAAAAAGAATGTGTCTTAGGTAAACATCTGATCCAAGTTATAGTACTTTGTACTACTCTTTTTGTGATTAGTTTCTAATTTTTTTTTATTTTAATAAATATGGTTGGCATTGCTAGATGAAATAAGACCCTGTTATATTTTCTTTAATGTGGATTTTATAAAAATAATTTTTTGCAGGTTTAGATTTATGAGTATAAAACAGCCTTTTCTTATTATGGAATGTTAAATTTTTTTTGTAAAATGTTCTCCATAAAGTGAATATTTAGGTTGACATCAAATACTTACGAAAAGGCATAATTTAAAATAATAGACCTATTGCTCTTAAGTTTTTCTTTTTAACTATTATATTGCACATTAACTTTTCTTACAGGAAAGTTCTGATCTCCCTGTTGCTCTACTTTTGGCTCAGCATAAAGATAGATCTACCCAATTGGAAATGCAGCTTGAGAAACCCAAACCTGTAAAACCAGTGACATTTTCTACAGGCATCAAAATGGTAAGCCATATTTTAATTGCTTGTTGGAAAGATATATTTCAAGGAGTACACTTTATAATTTTATATTGACTTCCACAGGTAAATGGAAAGGTATATATGTTTAAGAACAGTGTATGATCTTGGCTAGTTGTCTGAAAATATGAATATGATCAGAGTATGAGGAAAGAGAAAAGTATTTTGTTGTACAAAATAATGGTTTGTATGTGTTTTCTTATCCTACATAAAATTTTAAGTTTATAGTGTAGGAAAACATTCTTAAAAGAAAATGCAGACTTCTGGTTTCTGGTATGGCATGTAAGAAGCTTGGAAGTTGTCACTACCTGCTCACAAATAAAGCTTGGAAATTGCCACTGCGTCCTCAGACTGAAAAACAACAACTTTTCTTAGAGTCATAAGTGAAGAGAGGTAACAAGGCTAATTACTGACCTTAAAATTGGAGAGACTGGCTGAGAATACAGAGAATCACAACTGACTAGAGCAGCCTTACAGGGAACCAGTGGTGGTGTAATGAAACCTGAATTGTAATTGACAAATTGTGGACAACTCTGACAGTCAAAAACTCCCGGGGGCACCAGACATTGGAGGGCCTCTGGCATCTCTACCAGGTTCTTTCAGTGAATATTGAGAAAAATGCCCTCGTCCTTCTGGCAGATGAAGTGGAAAAGGAACCATTTTGCAGTATGCCAGAGTATTCTGTTCTTAACAAGGCCTGCCCTCAGGAGAAACTTGCACCAGAGCTTAACCTGCTGGAGTTTTATCAGAGCCTAACTGACGCAGGGGTAGGGAAATAACCCAACTCCAGCCTTCCACGTGGGAAAGGGAAAATAGACAGCTTCCAACCACTCTTGCCATTCTGCCCCACATAAGGGGAGGAAGATGGATTGAGAAGTATGTGTGAAGTTCACAGTCCAGAAGCACAGGCCCTCTAAAAGACTAGGATCTGATCATTCTATCTAATAAAGAGGGAGCATGCTAATTAACTGCCATGCCCTCACAAAGATGGCAGCGCCCACAGCCACAAGATGGTGGCACCCAGCCCCCTCAGCCCCGCCTCATCCAGCTGGAGTTCCCCAGTCCCCTCAGCCCTGCCTCGTCCAGTCTCAGTGCCCCAGTCCCCTCAGCCCTGCCTCATCCAGTCTCAGTCCCCCAGTCCCCTCAGCTCCGCCTCATCCAGTCTCAGTGCCCCAGTCTCCTCAGCCCCGCCTCATCCAGCTGGAGTTCCCCAGTCCCCTCAGCCCTGCCTCATCCAGTCTCAGTGCCCCAGTCCCCTCAGCCCTGCCTCATCCAGTCTCAGTCCCCCAGTCCCCTCAGCTCCGCCTCATCCAGTCTCAGTGCCCCAGTCTCCTCAGCCCCGCCTCATCCAGCTGGAGTTCCCCAGTCCCCTCAGCCCTGCCTCGTCCAGTCTCAGTGCCCCAGTCCCCTCAGCCCTGCCTCATCCAGCCTCAGTCCCTGAGTCCCCTTAGCCCTGTCTCATCCAGCCTCAGTCCCCAGTCCCCTCAGCCCTGCAGGGGAAGGCAGTTGGGGGCAATCGGGCCCGCAGGGGAGGGCAGTTGGAAACGATCATGCTGGCAAGGGAGCAATTAGGCATCAATCAGGCTGGCAGGGGAGCGGTTAGGGGGCTATCAGGCTGACAGGCAGAGTGGATAGGGGCAATCAGGCAGGCAGGCAGACAGGCAAATGGTTAGGAGCCAGCAGTCCCGGATTGTGAGAGGGATAACTGACTGCCGTCAGATAACCCCTGAGGGGTCCCATATTGGAGAGGGTGCAGGCTGGGCTGAGGGGACCCCCTCCCCCGCCCCGCACAAATTTTGTGGACCAGGCCTCTAGTATGACTAAAATGCTCTGCCCTTCCCTACATCTTGATGCCTGGGTATCAAGAAAAAATTATGAGCCCTAACTGGTTTGGCTCAGTGGATAGAGTGTTGGCCTGTGGAATGAGGATCCTGAGTTCAGTTCGATTCCAGTCGAGGGCACAAGCCCAGGTTGTGAGCTCGATCCCCAGTGGGGGACATGCAGGAGGCAGCCAATCAATAATTCTCTCTCATCATTGATGTTTCTATCTGTCTCTCCTTCTCCCTTCCTCTCTGAAATCAATAAAAATATATTAAGAAAAAAAAATTATGAGATACTAAAAGACAGAAAACACAGTTGGAGGAGATAGAGCAAACATCTCAATCAGGCTCAGATATGGCAGGGAATTTGGAATTATCAGACTGGGAATTTAAAACAACTATGATCAATATGCTAAGGGTACTAGAGGATAAAGTAGACAACATACAGGAGCAGATGGGCAATGTATGCAGAGAGATGGAAATTCTAATAAATAAAAGAAATGCTAACAAAAAGAATACACTAACAAAAATCAAGAGTGTCTTTGATGGGCTTATTACTAGAATGGACACATCTGAAGAAAAAAATCCTTGAGCAAGAGAATATACCAATACAATCCTTTTTATTTTACATACGGGGGGTGGGGAGGGAGGGGGAGGGAGATACTGATGTGGGAGAGAAACATTGATTGGTTGCCTTCTGTATGTTTCCTACTGGAGATCAAACCCGCATGAAACGCAGGCATGCGCCCTGACCGGGAATCCAACATGTAACCCTTTGGTGCATGGGGCAATGCTCAATCAATTGAGCCACTCCAGATGGGTGCAATAGATACCTTGAAAACTGAAAACCAAAGAAAAAAAGACTGGGAAAAAAAAAGAGAGAGAGAGAGAGAGCAGGATATTCAAGGAGTTTGGGACAACTACAAAAGGTATAACGTGTGTAATGGGAATACCAGTAGAAAAAGAAAGAAAGGAACAGAAGAAACATTTGAAATAATGACTGAGAATGTCTCCAAATTAACATCAGACACCAAACCAAAGACCCAGGAAGCTCAGAGAACACGAAGTAGGATAAATGCCCCCAAACCTCACACCTATGCACTTCACTTTTAAGTTAGAGAAAATTGAAGGCAGAGAAAAAGTCCTAAAGAAACCTTGGTGCAGCAGAACTGGGGGTTGGGGGGAAAAGAAACAACTTACCTGTATAGGAGCAAATGTAAAAATTGTATCTGGCTTCTCCTCAGAAACAACACAAGCCAAAGGAGAGTGGAGTGAAATATTTAAGGTGTTGAGAAAATAAAGCTACCAACCTAGAATAATGTACCCTGCAAAATTATCCTTTAAAAGTGAAAGGGAAATAAAGATTATCAAACAAAAAGTGAGGGAATTTTTTTGCCAGCAGGCCTTTCTTGCAAGAAGGGTTAAAAGAAGGTCTTAACACTTCTTGCAAAGGAAAGTGATATAGGTCAGAAACAGATTTACATAAAGAAAGCATCAAAGAAGAAATAAGGTAAGGTAAAATAAAAACATATTTTTTGTTCTTAATTGATCTAACATATAGCAGTTTGTTTAAAATAACGCTGTATTTGATTGTGTGTGTATCTGCTTGTATACACACATACATGCTTATAAGTGAAATGAATGACTGATAATACAAGAGACTGGAGGAAGCAATCAGGATTATTTGATTATGGATATGTGGGTACCTGAATAATATAAAATATTCAGGATCAGTTTTAAACTTACAAATGTAGGAAGTATTAATACATATTCAAATATAAAGAAAAACACTACTAATTAAGGAATTACCAATGCTTTTGAATTAAGTATAGAGAGGAAATATCCATGGGTAAGATTTTACTTTATTCTTTCCAAACATGTTGGTAAAGCTGAGATATTCTTAACTTCCCCATTGGTAAAGTTGAGATATTTTTAACTTTATATGATTATTTGGAGGATTAAAAAGTATAAAATATATAATCAGGTAATACATACTTGAATTTGAGAGAATTTTATGATAAATTTGGCATTTTGCTGCTTTTATAAATCTGGTATTGCTGTGACCATGGCGTTTTGTTTTGTTTTAAAGTTTTTAAAATTTATTTTTTAAATTCACACATAGTAAAGGTCATTCTTTTTGATGTACAGGGTTTTCATAAATGCAGAGTTGTGTATCTACCATTACAATTACACAGGAGTTCTATCACTCCTCAAAATTCCCTTGTACTACTCTTTCATAGTCAACCCAGCAATTAGTGATCTGTTCCTTAGGTTTGTTAGTTTAATAGCAACACACATTTGAGGTCATTCATGTTATTGCACATACTTATAATTTTTCCTTTTTGCTGAGTAATATACCATTGTATGGATTTACTGGTTTCTTTATCCATTCATCAGTTGAATGACATTCAGGTTGTTTCCTTTTTTTTTGGAATGATTATGAATAAAGCTTATGTAAACATTTGCATACAATTGTTTGTGTACATAGTTTTTATTTCTCTTGGGTAAATACTAAGAATGAGATTGGGTATGTTTAGCTTTGTAAGAAACTGCCAAACTGTTTTTCAAGTGGCTGTACCAGTTTGCATTCCCACCAACCTTGTGTGAATGTTCCATTTGCTTTGCATTCTTAACAATACTCAGTATTATAAGTTTTTTTAAATTAAATCTTTATTATTCAGATTATTACATTTGTTCCTCTTTTTCCCCCCCATAACTCCCCTAGTTCCCACCCCCCCCTCTGCCCTCACTCCCCACCCTCTGTCCTCATCCATAGGTGCACGATTTTTGTCCAGTCTCTTCCTGCATCTCCCACACTCCTTTCCCCCTCAAGAATAGTCAGTCCACTCCCTTTCTATGCCCCTGATCCTATTATAATCACCAGTCCAGCAGATTTTTTATTCACTTGATTTTTAGATTCACTTGATGATGGATATGTATTTGTTGTCACTTAGTTGTTCATTTTTATCTTTACCTTTTTCTTTTTCTTCCTCTTCTTAAAGAATACCCTTCAGCATCTCATATAATACTGGTTTGGTGGTGATGAACTCCTTTAGCTTTTTCTTATCTGTGAAGCTCTTTATCTGGCCTTCACT